GGGATGGGTGTCCCGGAGCAGGGGGGCTGGATCAGGACCTCTTCACAGGGTCACATCTTGGGAGTCGCCCTGTGGGGCTGCGGTGTGGGTGCTGCAGGGCTGCAGTCGGAGCAGACCTGTGCCTGGGGGTTTGCCCAGCACTCGGGGTTTGTCTGTGGGGCTCCCGGAGCTCGTGGGCGCAGGTTGGGTTGGTCAGATGCTGCTGGGACGTTGTGGGAGCTGCGGCTGGGATTGCTTTTTTGGACGTTGTGGGAGCTGCGGCTGGATTTCTCTTTTTTTATAACAGGGGCAGAGACTCGAGGTTAACCAGGAGGGGTGGGTTGGTTGTTGATTTTTTTCCCATTTGCACGGGTGGTGGTGAGCTTGCTGTCCTTGCAGAGCTGTTTAGGTGCAGATTCAGTTCCTGAACTGTGCTATTTAAAACCCCCGTGTAAATAGTGACGTTTCATAGTGGAATGCAGACAGCATTATCCTCCTCCTCTGTGGGAACAGGTTTTAAGTGATAAACTTTGCTGTTTTCTTGGTATTTCACCCGTTGTATCACCAGTGTCCTCCAGCCTGTGCCTGGATGGTGCTGAAGGATCAGCCTGAGCCTTGGCGGGGGCTCGGAGGGGCAGGGGGGGGTACTGCATGAGGGGACAAATGCCCAGCCAGTTTCGAGTCCTTCCACTATAATTTCTGATTGCACTCAACACAGGTAATTGGAACCATTGCGGGGTTAAGCAGGAAATCAGCTGAAAAGGGGAAATTTTAGGAGCACAGAGCTGGTGGCTGATCTGGCCATAAAACCAAACCAAGCCATCGCTCTGCTAACAGAGTCCCAGCGGGAAAACCAGAGAGTGGGTTTCTGCAGAGAGAGCAGATAAAACCTAGCAGAGAAAAATCAGGGTATGTTCGATGTTTTTCTCTTGGAAATACTTCGCAGAGGGTTGGTGCAGAATTTTTAAGAGTTGGTGTTCCTGGGGTGAATTTTCAGGCTCCCTCTCCATCACCCTGGAGCAGCACGGGCAGCTCCGGGCACTCACCCCCCCGGATGCAGAGTCAGAGCATCCTTTAGCTGCGTGTTTCCTCCAAAAAGACCGAGCGGGGCAGCTCACAGTGCTTCTCCAGACAGAGTTACTATCCAGGTCTTTTCACACGCTCTTCTTCTCTCCGTCTGTCTGTCTCTCTCCCTGTCCCTGCCTCAGGACCACTGAACAAGTGAAATTTCTCTGTTTTCTGTTGTAAGTACTCTCTCCTGTATTTCTTCCTTCTTCTGCTGTGCTGGTTTTTGTCCTCTCTCTCCGGGTGTGTGCTGGCCCCACGCTCTCCATGGCATGCAGGCTCCTTCCTGCCCTTTGCCTGGCGCTCGCTGCTCTGGCGCGTGTCCCGCACCTCTCGGGCTGGATCCCCGGAGCCTGGCGAGAGCCGGGAGCGCGGGAGAGCAGAGGGACCGGGGTTCCCCCCGTGGGGTCTCCCAGTGATGCTCGGGGTCTCCTGCAGCTTGTCAGCCCCCCCAGACCCTCTGGGCTCATCCAGGCTCTGCTCTCGTGCAAGGGGAGCCGGAGGAAGGAGCGTGCTGGGCTCAGTTCCTGATCTTGTGTCATCCGTCCCAATGCCCTTCTTGTCTGCTGAGCGCTGCCGTATGCACGAGCACAACGAGAGCTGGGCTCAAGGACATCTGTGTCCGGGCTGGGAGCTGATCGGCCCTTTCACCGCACGATGCTGAACAGTGGCTGTCAAAAACGCCTGTGCGCCGGGCCGGGAGAGGGCGCTCCCGCGGTTGGGTTTGTCCGGCTGTAAGCGCTGGTGACTGTGCGTGGGCGGCTGTGTGCGACCCGTCCCCAGGAGGTGGTGCAGGGCTGGGGGTGGGTAAGGACACGCAAGCTGCAGTTCAGCTGCTTACGTCAGGGCACGGAAAACCCGGCCCCGAGCCATTCTTCAGTCTGCCCCAGGTGTGCATGTTACCGTGCAAAGAGAATTTCCGTGTGCCGTGTCGTGGTGCTGGTTGTGCCAGCCTGGCACACGGTGCGATGGGACGGGGAGGCTGGAGCGACGCTGTGCCCACGGTGCCGTGCCACCGAGCTCCGGGATGGGGTGTGTCCAGGAGCACGGGACCGAGCCCTCGCTGGGGGGCACCCGGCCACAGGACCGCCTGCAAGAGCAACCTGAGCATAACCTCCTCCCGTCCCCTGGGGCAGCGTTGGCATCTGGCAGAGGGAGCGTCGAGGCACAGAGGATGGCCCTGGAGCTCTCCCACGAGCACGCGGAGCTGCGGCCAGCAGCCTCCATCCCGGCTGTGCGGGGCTGGGGGAGATGTGGACGATGCGGAGGGGTCCCAGACAAACCCCCAGCTGCGGGGACAGGGCACGAGACAGCCAGGACACGGTTCCTTCCTGCAGAAAATCGATGTGAAAAGGATGCTGTCCTGCTGGATGCACAGGGCGAGGGTGCAGCAAGGGAAACCTTTCTCTGCCGGCTCCTTGGTGGTCGCCTCTCTCGCTATCAGCACCTCGGGGTCCCTTCTCTGGTCCTTATTCGACAGGAATAAACGCCTCAAACACAAACCCAATGGCTCCGTGGTCGTGTGTTTTGTTTGCTTGTTCCTTCCGTTCTTTCCAGAGCTCGCTCTGCCTCCATGCCTCCCCGGTGAGTGGGGTTGCCGGCACGCGGCGGGTGCAATGCTAGCGGTGG